CCACCTGCTTCAAAATCCCTCTCCGTCTCTCCACCTATATAAACCCAACCCATTTTAAAAGAATGGCTGTAGTTCACTTCCTCCATGAAATATTTGCTTATTACCTAAATCCATGGATAGCTCTCTCTCTCCCCTGAATTCCTGCAACATTTCTCCTATCCTGCTTAGTATCTGATGGCAGCCATTGTACTTGTCTCTCCCTGCCACTGAAGGGAGGCTCTTGCTGCTTGTCCACTATTGCTGGTTAACTTTTGGAGGACAGATCCCGAGGGTTAGCTCTCATGGCTCCCCCTAAAACTTAGGACAGAACAGTAAATAAGGAAAGTCTAAGTAATGTTTCATTAATAAACTCTAAACAGATAAAATACACTCAGGAGACTTTTCCAAGTCTTTCTCCTAACATTCAGGTTCTATCTCCCCAGTTGCACAGCATGGCAGGGAAAAATGGGCTTTCTCTTCCTGAAACATTGGACCAGGGTGATTTGAACCCTGAGCAAGAATGCAATGAGAAACTACAACCACCACAACCCACAGCAAGACATTCTTAGTCAAGATAACTAAGAATCCATACTATCCCTCAGAGAAAAAGTTCTGGGTCCCACAGAAAACAAAGTAAACCAGCTCCAGTGTGAGCCAAGAAGGAGGGAATCTAATGAGTGGTGAAGAATATCAATCAGAGTCTTAGAGACAACTACAGATGTGAGAACTGTGTGTAGTTTTGTTAACACTTTTGCCATAGTTTTCCAAGAAGACTGGCCACCTCTTTTGAAGGGGTCTCAGCAGGGATGATATCGCCCTCAAGTGGGCAACAATTCATTCTTGGGGGTAAAAAAAATTAGATATTTCAATAGTTTATGGCTCTTCAAAGCTCAACACTGTATGATAAAATCTCATTTCATAGTATTTCATTTTATGGGAGGGTAAGAGAATGGAGGATGAAATATCTGTAAGGGGATGTCTGGGCTATAATGAATAAAAGATTGAGAAACACTGCTCTAGACTGACTGGACTTGATTCTCTTCTCTTCTCATTTTCTTGGAAAAATGGAGGGACCATATTGTACCATAGAATTTAAAGATAATGACAGAGCACAGACAGATCTGAGTAGTGCAAGAGGTGGGCAGTGAAGGACAGAGGTCTTAGATTACCTCCTCCTTTCTAATGACACTGCTTACCTCCCAAACCTACCTCTCTCCAAGGTCTTTCAGCTAGCAGAAGCTCTCTTCCTCTTCTGGACTCAGATTAATAGCCATAGTGTACGACATGGTCCCTGATTTCCTGTGTGGCCACCCACTGGGCCAGATGAAGCAACCTGAAGTTCAGAAGAGTCTATTCCCCATGGGATGACCTTGGCTGATGAGAAACAACAGATGAGAAGAACAGGGCATATGAACATCCCTTCCTTTTCCCATCCCTGAACTGCTCCCGGCTGTTATTTCTCCCTCCAGAGGAGCCCCACGTGCTGAATGAACATATCTGATAAGCAATCTCTGGCTCTTCATGCTGTGAACAATCAGCCTTGAAGTAAAGCCCTTCACTGCATTTTTCTGCATCGATCCTAGCCTCCAGTTTCCTCTATTGTCTTCCTCTTTACCTCCCTGGGGTTTTACTTTCCAAATAAAATGTCAAGACTTAAATTCTTGCTTCAGGTTGTCTGTTTTAGCTAAGACAATGTCATCTTAGTCCCTTTAGACTGGTAAAGCAGAATATCATCAGCTGGGTGGTTGATAAACCACAGAAATCTATTTTACAGTTCTGAAGGCTAGAAGTCCAAGATCAAACACTAGCAGATTTAATGTCTGGATAGTGTCTGTTCCCTGGTTGTAGCTCTGGGCAGAGGGGATTCCCCGCTTAGGCTAAGTTCACTATGAATTTGTTGAGACTGAGTAATGACAATGGAACATTGTGGGTAAAAAGGAGCTCATACCAAGCTTTATTCTCACGGAGGCCACCCGTTTGTCTACAAGCAGCCAGCCTGTCTCCCTCTCTTCCCCCTGGCTCCAGCCTCTGCCCAGGTGCTGCCTCCACTCCGCACTCTGCTCCCCAGGCACTGCTTCTGCTTGTAGCTCCCCAGTCTCTGCTCCCTCTTCTAGGCTCCTCTCCTGCTTCCCTCTGCCTTAGCAACCATTGGCACTCCTCTTAAAGAAATACAGGCCAAAAATAGCTTATTGCCAATGGGTATGCAAGCATGCACCTGTGCAGTCGGCTAACTATCACCTTATCAAACGCATACAATGGGTGAGATTAGGATCAGGTGAGAGCCCTGGCCATGAAATTCCATTTTCCCTACACTGGTTCACAGACAGCCATACTCTCACTGTGTCCTCACATAACAGAAGCAGCAAGGGAGCTCTCAGGCCTCTTTTATATGAGTACTGATTCCATTCATGAGGGCTCTGTCCTCATGACCTAATCACCTTCCAAAGTCTGCCTTCTAATACTACCTGGGGATGAGACTTCAATATATGAATTTGGGGAAGACACAAATACTCACACTGTTAGAATAGTAGAAGGAGTAACTCATAAATATGACTCATGCACAAGTTGCAGGAACAAGGAATCTGGTTCCATTAACATTTCTTTCCTAAATGTAATTAGATAGATAGATAGATAGATAGATAGATAGATAGATAGATAGATAGATGATAGATAGATAGATAGATGATAGACAGATAATAGAGAGAAAGATAGATGATAGATACATGATAGATAGATAGATAGATAGATAGATAGATAGATAGATAGATAGATAGATAGATACATGATAGATAGAGATAGATAGATGATAGATAGTGATATAGATAGATATAGATAGATAGATAGATAGATAGATAGATAGATAGATGATAGATAGATAGATAGATAGATGGTAGAGAGATGGATAGAATACCTTATCTTTTCTTTCTTCTCCATTACCCAGTTATTTTAAACATTAGTTATGAATAACCATACAATTAGCCCATAGATCAAGTTATTTCCTGTTAGGAGAGAGTGACTGCTCTTTGTTTGGATAAGAAATAACTGCACCTTATTACAAGGCACGTGTAAACATAGAAGAAGGGATGGACTGATTCAGGCTGTGTCTGGCTGTGCGGCTCCCCTTGTTCCTGCCTGTTTCAGGGCCTATTCCAGCCTTCCCACTGTACCTGTGAACCACCCAATATCATTTAAATATGTTATTTTCAATATTAAAATTTTCTTTCTTTCTTTGGCAACTAGGAGCCTTGAGTGCCGAATCACTGTCTCCAGACTCCCAGGGATGACATCCATTCACCAGGAAGGAAGGCCAGGGCTGACTCCCTCCCCCTGGAGACAGACCTTTAGAGACATAACCCCTAGTGCAGGGGTTTAACCTAATTCTCAGGGGATTTACTCAATGCACCCCCTCTACTAGGCACTGGAGTGGAAATAGAGAAGAAACTCTCCAAGTGCTCACCATCTCACTGGGAACAGAAGACACACAGCAAAGCATTGACTTGCTCCAAAGAGCAGAAACCAACCAAGTTACACACAGAAAATGACAAGTAGGAAGAGGCCCCTGAACACAAATAAACGAGAAAGCAGAGCTGCCCGTGGATTCCCCATTTACCTCACTGAGACTCGGATGTGAAAACAACTGCCTGTCTTGCTGAAAATACTTCAGGGATATTATCCCAAAGGACTTAGATGGAACTCAATGTCCCATGTGAGCACGTGACTCTGTTAACTCTGGTGCTTGGGGAAAGAGTCTGGTTCTGAAAATGCATAAGAGGTGATGTCAGGTACCCCCTGCCACCCCGTCAACAAGTTAAGCTACAAAGTCTATTTTCCACTAACTTCCTGAGATTTTGCCATCTTTCATAGGTGAGCCTTTTTAGATTTTAATGCTGCTCTTAACCAGCTTGATAACTGCCTCAGAAACTCTGAACAAATTGTATGGGACTGCTGGAGGGTGGGAGAGGCAGCACAGGAAGGTGGCATTAGAAGTTCTCACTCAGAAATACACCCTTTTCCATACTGGTCAAGCCTGAACCCTCCCAGGGCTTAGTGATCACAAGACCCTTTAAGGCTATTCTGTATCTTGCCCTGAGGTTTAGATAGAGTTGCCAACAGTCCTTTACCTCATTTTAGTTTTGCCTTGGAGTCACCCTTCCACCTTGTTTCCCACCCTCTGATTATCAGGTGCAAAGAGACCTCAGAGCTACTGCCCCAATTTCCACTTCCCTTCAGTTTTCAGACTCCCTGAGGTGGAGGTTTCTCTTTTTCCAGCTTGTTTATAGAAAGAAAAGCTATTTGGGGACTTGGCTATCTCTAGTCTGAAAGACAAGTGATTTTGGAGACAAATAAAAGAGACAAAAAATGAGAGGGGAGCAATACTAGAAAAGTAGAAAGACAGGGACGAAAACACCTTGGCTCTCAAGCCAATATTCTTTCCAATAACCCACAAGGAAAACCATGCATGGTCCAACCTCACTTCTCTACCTCCAGGCAACACCTTGGGAGGTCCCTATAGCTTTCTGGTCACTTTTAGCTTTAAGAATAAGTTCTCCTTCGGTACTAAAGACCCACTTCCACATATTCAAAAGTGTAGTCCAATTTAAAACTTCAATTTACATCCCTCAAAGCACCTTCAAATGATGAATATGAATGAATGGTGGGAAAGATCTTAGCACCAGTTTGTTCATTTTTAAGTAATTCCTTCAGGGGTATCTACTATCTTCAGAATATGGAGTATACCTTGCCTAGTGTCCTCATTTGTGGGCATTTAACTTCATTTGGAGCCAACTGTGAAAATCACATTCTGAATCATGTTAGAGTCTAAGACATTCATTGAGAGGTATTTATCTTGTCTCCCTGCCTTTTCTTTCTAAGGCATTTCTTGACTCTGCACTGCTGACAGATTTCCCGAGTAAGTGATCTTTCTCCAGCCCTCATTCCCCTTTAGCCTAGAGGGAGTGTCTACTCCCCTGCAATGGTACTGTGTTGCAATGCTACCCAGCTGAATAGTACCAGACTGGGGGTTCTTGTGGGAGCATGACGGCCTTGCATTCCTTTCTTCACATCAGCAGAAATACGCATGAAGGAAACCAAACCACCGTCTCTGAATTCCTCCTCCTGGGACTCTCCAACCAGGCTGAACAGCAGAAGCTCCTCTTTGTGCTTTTCCTGGGCGTGTACCTGGTCACCGTGGTTGGGAATGGGCTCATCACTCTGGCCATCCGTTTGGATCCTCACCTTCACACCCCCATGTATCTCTTCCTGGCCAATCTATCCCTGGCTGATATTTCCTCCATTTCCACCTCAGTCCCCAAGATGCTGATGAACATTCAGACCAAGAGTCAATCCATCTCTTATGACAGCTGCATCACACAGATGTACTTTTCTATTATCTTTGTTGTCATTGACAATTTCCTCTTGGGAGTCATGGCCTATGACCGTTTTGTGGCTGTCTGCTACCCTCTGAACTATACGACCATCATGCGACCCAGGCTCTGCATTTTGCTCGCAGTCATGCCATGGGTCCTCAGTAATATTGTTGCCCTGACACACACCCTTCTACTCCTTCAATTGCTCTTCTGTGACAGCCACTCTGTCCCACACTTCTTCTGTGACTTGGCCTCTCTGCTTAAACTGTCCTGCTCAGACACAACGATCAACGAGCTTGTGTTGTTTATCATGGGCTCATCAGTCATCACCTTCCCCTTGGCCCTCATCTTCTTCTCCTATGTCTGCATTGTCAGGGCTGTCTTGAGAATCTCGTCCACAGAAGGAAAGTGGAAGGCCTTCTCCACCTGCGGCTCTCACCTGACGGTCGTATCCCTTTTCTATGGTACCATTGTAGGGGTTTACTTCTTCCCCTCATCCACTCATCCTGATGACACAGATAAGATTGGTGCAGTGCTATTCACAGTGGTGACACCCATGATAAACCCTTTCATCTATAGCCTGAGGAACAAAGACATGAAAGTTGCCTTGAGAAAGCTCATCAGTAGGAAAAAGTTCTTCCCTTTGTTGCCCTAAGCATCTGAATTCCTTTTATCACTGTAACCAGATGGATTATTCTGCCCAGAGGTTTTGGCACAGTTGTAATGAGGGCTTTGGGCTTTTCCACATAGTTCTGGTCTTGGAAAAAAGACCCTTAGCCCCCATAGTAAGTCACAACACATATCTTGATTGCAATCTATGTTACCACAAACTTTGGTGCAAATTGTTTATGATTAAGACAATAACAAATGCATGTAGTGCCTACAGTCTGGCTTTTGCATCTTTGAGGACAAGTGTCACTAATTATTTCATTCAATCTAGATTTCTGTAGATCAGCTTTTGTCAAAGTTTGTTTTGCCAAAAGTACTGTTCAATGAGATGCTTAATAGTTGCAAAAATTCAGGACCCCACATTCAAATAATTTGGGGCAACTCCAAGCTAAATGAAGCAAAATGTCTTAACTAGATAACTTAACAGAGCCTTTAGTACACTAGAAATTCCCCGGAGGGTAATGTGGAAGACAGCATTTCTCAAAACAAAGTATATTCAATAATACAGAACCTGGTTCATCACAAAGTAGTTCATGGAACTAGTGTCATGCAAAACACATTTTGGGAAATGTATTTCAATGGAAAATCAGAGAGCACATATCTGGAAGACAACAATTTTAGTCCTGACTCTGTCTCTGACTAGCTATGAGACGTTAGCCATATCAACTCATTTTCTTGAGCCTGTTTTCCTTATCTGTAAAATGAAGCCAACTGAAAGTGTACATCAGAATTACCTGGAGGAACTTTTTCAAAATTTACATCCCCAGACCCTGCAATGCCTTCTCTTGCTTGACCAGCCACAGTGGTCTTGGGTTCATCTGGGCAATTAAACTCACAAAATACACCAAGAATCAAGATTTACAAAAGGATACAGAACAATCACACAAAATGCACAGTGACAGCATGGTAGAAGTCTCATGATTCCCAGGCATGCCTTCTAAATATCCCAGCCATCCAATACTTGGGATGTGCATGGTCATGAGAGAGAAATAGTCCTGAGTGGGCGTGACCACCTCAGTTCAGTTCCTTAGGCATTCAGCCTTGCTTATTGCAGAGCCAAGGAGCCCCAGCTGTCCCAGCCTATGTCTTTGAGTCTGTCTCATCCAACATGTAAGTGAAACCTCAGCAGACCCCAGTTTCATTTCTGACCAACAGCACAAGAACCCAAAGAAAAACTGCCTCACTGAGTCCAGTCAACTCTTAGAACTGCAAAATATAGCAATAAATGACTGTTACTATTTTACATCTGTGCGTTATGGGAAGGTCTGCTATTCAGCAAAATGAAACCAAAAGAGTGCTTTTGTTTCATAGAATAAAGTGATTTGTATTGTATCTCTTGTTTACTGCTTTAACATTTTATAATGACTCATTTTAGGAAGCAAAAAAAAACCTTTTTTATTTTAAGGAAAATTAGCTACATTGCCTATTAAACCATCATGCTTAACATATTATGAGAATCTTTCCAGTTACATAAATATCAATTGGTCAGATCTACAATTTTCTCTCTTTATCCTGGCGTCATCTAGCACATGTTTTAGAGTAAGAACCATCAGGGTTAGACCCAGATCATTTGCTTTAAGCTCGTTGCAATTCCTGCAGGCCTGTCCTAGTCCTTTATTACCCTTACCTCAAAGGTTCCACAGGAGGCTGTATACATTGTAAGGCAGAGCTCCACGTGCAGTGAGCAATGGGGAAGCTGATTTGACTAGGCATAGACTTATATGCAAGGTAGGAGTTCACCTGAGAAAATGAATTATGATTAAATTTGAGGCACAAAGGTAAATTGATTAAGAAAACAGAGAATCACAGACTTTCATGAAAACATTGACAAGTTGACAAAGAGGAAGGGTGTAAATCTGTATGTAGATGCTTATAGTCCCCTGAATCATTTTCTTATTTGTCATTTTCAAATAACACCTATTGTAAGCCTTCTTTTTACTAGGTTCTGAGTCTGGCCCTGGGACTAAAATGAATAATTCACAATTCATGCCCTCAGTGCCCTCAAAAATGAAGACAGAAACTGTATAAATTATTTTAAATGATTCTTAAGACTGGATAAGCAAAGACAATGTTTAGTGAATAATTAATGTCATTAGATTTAGAAAGCATATAGATTTTGTGCAAAGCACAGTCAACTGAAGTTTATGCTATTCTTGTTCTTTTGTGTGATACATACTTGAGAAAAGCCAACTTGTGGTTTTATGAATAAATTAACAGAAATCCCTATTGTCTAGGAGTAAGAAACACAAATGCAAGAGAAATGCCTGAAAAAACAAACCAAAAAAATATCCATACATCAGGTAAGAAGGATTTACAAGGCCTAATGTATAAAGCGTCAACAAATATTCATTAACTAGTCACTAAACAAACATTCTGAGTACCTGGTGACAGTCAAAAGAAACTAAGACAGTTCCATTGGCTTCCTGGCTTTTACTTCACAGTACATGAGACAGACAATGGGTGCAGGAATAAGTAAATACTTGAGGTGGCAAGAAGGCCTATAATAAATAGTAAGGCATGATCAGAGGATAGACAATGACACAGGATGAAATAGCTATTTTAGGTAGAGGTTGAAAAGCTGGAGAAGACCTCTCTTAGGTATTTGATCAGAGAACTGAATAAAATAAGAGGATGGCCCACGAGAAGATCTGGGGAAACAAACACATTCCAAGAAAAGTGAAGAACAGGTATAAAGATCCCAATGTCAGAACAGGTTGGCATCTTCAAGGAATAGTGAGTGAACTGGATGAGGGGCAAGGAGAGGGGAAGTGGGTATAGTCATGGAGGTAAAGACCTACGGCTGAGCCTTCTACACCAGGGTAAGGACTTCAGATTTTATTTAAATATTTTAAGTAAGTATTTGAATTCATGGAACTGGATGAAATTACTTAAGCAATGACTTCAGAAGGAGAAAGAGACCTATGACCAAGCCTTGGGTGACTCTTACATTTAGACATGAGGACCCAGCAAAGACACCTGAGGAGGGGCAGCCAGTGAGGTAGGATGCCAGAATAAAGTGACCAGTCTTGAAAGAAGAGAGATCCATTGTCTCAGAAACCGCAGGGCCCAAACCATCCCTCCTGCAGTCTTGTTTTCTGATCTACTCCCTTCAGCCCAGGCAGCTATCATCCCTAGAAATCTCTTGGCCAGTCCCATATCCTCTAAGTTCAAAACAGCCTCCTTCAGAACATATTTTTCAGAAGGTGAAAACATCTCAAAATACCCCTTTGCCTCCATCTTCCCTCCCTTGCTTATGTCTTACTCTATATTGTCCTTTAGCAGAGAAATTAAAATGACTCAGAACTAAAAATCCCTTTTTAAACTGGCATATGACTTTAGGCAATACCATCTGTGACCTTTTTAACCAACCAGGAATGCTCAGGAACATCCTCTATTTTCTTTGATAATAAAAAGAATGCTACACTGTGACCAAGTGTAGCTTATCCTAGAAATACAAGAATTGTTTAACATTCCAGGAAAAATCAATGTAATTCATCATATTAATAAACACTAGATCATCCATGATCATCCATGATCAAACACTTTTTGATATCCCAGTGCATACAGGAAAATATTTTCACAAAATCAAAACTCCATTCCTTATTTAAAAACAAAAACAAGAACTTATATCAAACTAGAAATCATGGGAACTTCCTTAACTTGCTAAAGGGCATCTATAAAAAATCTGTATGATGAATAGTCAAAGACTGAAAATTTTCCCTTAAGACCAAGAACAGGACAAGAATTTGCATTCTCATTGCTTCTATTCAACATTGTATTGGAAAGGATATAAGTCAGACAAAGAAAGACAAATATCGTATGATCTGACTTACATGTAAAATCTAAAAAAACCAAGCTCATAGAAACAGAGATCAGATTTGTGATTGCCAGTGGTGGAGTGGGGGGTAGCAAGGTTGGCAGGGAATTGGATGCAGGAGTCAAAAGATACAAACTTCCAGTTACAAGATAAATAAGTTTTTTTAAAAACATTTAACAAAAATCAACATCCAATCATGATAAAAACTCAACAAAATGGATATAGCAGGTACATATCTCAAAGTAATAAAGGCCATATATGCAAACTCATAGCTAACATCATACTCAGCAGTGAAAAGGTGAAAGCTTTTCCTCTAAGATAAGGAACAATACAATGATGTCCATTCTCACCAGTTTTATTTAATATAATATGGAGATCTTGACCACAGCAATCAGATAAGAAAAAGAGATAAAAGGCATCCAAATTGGCAAGGAAGAAGTAAAATTGTCACTATTTACAGATGACATGATATCATATATAGAAAACCCTAAAGACACCACCAAAAAATTATTAGAACTAATAATTGTATTCAGCAAAGTTGCAGGATACAAAATCAATACACAAAAGTCTGTTGCATTCTTATACACTAACAATGAACTAGCAGAAACAAAAATCAAGAAAACAATTCCATTTACAATTACATCAAAAAGAATAAAATACCTAGGAATGAACCTAACCAAGGAGGTAAGACCTATACTCTGAAAACTATAAGACACTCACGAGAGAAATTAAAGAAGACACAAATAAAAGGAAATCTATCCCATGATCATGGATAGGAAGAATTAATATTGTCAAAATGGACATCCTGCCCAAAGCAATTAACAGATTCAGTGCAATCCATATCAAAATACCAATGACATTTTTCAATGAACTCTAAGAACAAATAATCCTAAAATTCACATGGAACCACAAAAGACCCCACATAGCCAAACCAATCTTGAGAAAGAAATACCAAGTCAGGGGTGTTATGCTCCCTGACTTGAGGCTATACTACAAAGCTAGAGTAATCAAAACAGTATGGTACTGGCACAAAAGCGGATCCATAGATCAATGAACCTACACATATACGGTCGATTAATATATGATAAACAGAGAACCCTGATATAAACCTACACATATGTGGTCAATTAATATATGATAAACAGAGAACCCTGATATAAACCTACACATATGTGGTCAATTAATATATGATAAAAGAGCCATGAATATACAGTAGGAAAAAGACAGTCTCTTCAATAACTGGTATTGGGAAAACTAGACAGCTACATGCAAAGAATGAAACTGGATTACTGTCTAACTGCACACACAAAACATTCCTAATCATTAAGAAAATGCAAGTCAAAACCACAATGAGATTATCACCTCAAACCAGTTAGAATGGCCACCATCCAAAAGACAAGAAATAACAAGTGTTGACAAGGATGTGAAGGAAAGGGAACCTTCCTAGACTGTTGGTGTGAATGAAAATTGGTGCAGCCACTCTGGAAAGCAGAATGGAGTTTCCTCAAAAACCTAAAACCACAAATACCATTCAACCCAGTAATTCCTCTTCAAAGAATATGCCAAAAGAGAACACAAAATCCCTGATTCAAAAAGATATATGCACCTCTATGTTTATTGCTACATTATTTACAATAGCTAACACCCAAAGTGTCCATCAATAGATAAATAGATAAAAAATACACAATAGAACATATTCAGCCATAAAAAAAGAAATCCTGACATTTTCAACAACATGATGCATCAAGAGGGTATTATGTTCAGTGAAATAAACCAAGCAGAGAAAGACAAATACCATATGATTTCACTTGTTTGTGAATATAAAAACAAAGCAAAACAGAATAAACAAAATAGCAGTAGATTCATAGACACTGAGAAGTAACTAGTGGTTACCATAGGGGAGGGGTTGGAGTCATCAGTGGGTAGGGAGGGTGATAAAAGAGCACAAAAATTCTCAATCACATAAGTTGGTCATGGGATGGTAGTACTACATGGGAATATAGCCAATGGTTCTATAAAGTTCTCCTATGTTGACAGATAGTAACTGTCTGTTGAGGTGAGGATTTAATAATATGGGTAACTGTTGAACCACTGTGTTGTATAAGAAATATAAGATTGTATATCAATGATATGTATAATATATATATATACCAATGTAAACCAATATAAGATTATATATCATTGATATTTCAATAAAAACAGGAAGTTGTAGAAGAATACATTACAATATCCTACTTTAAAACTTACAGAAAAATATAAGTAAGTTCTGCACATGTAATGTACAAATGATGACTGTAGTTAACAATACTGTATTGTATATTTGAAAGTTGCTAATTGAGTAGAACATAAAAGGTCTCATCACAAAGGGAAAAAACTTTTGTAGCTGTGAGGTAATGAGTGTTAACTAAACTTAATGGTAATAATTTCACAATATTATACATGTATCAAATTATTATGTTGGGCAACTTAAATTTATACAATGTAATGTGTCAATTATATCTCAGTGGAAGAGGAAAAATGCTTAAATTAATAATAATAATAATAATAATAATAGAAAGTTGCTAATTGAGTAGAACATAAAAGGTCTCATCACAAAGGGAAAAAACTTTTGTAGCTGTGAGGTAATGAGTGTTAACTAAACTTAATGGTAATAATTTCACAATATTATACATGTATCAAATTATTATGTTGGGCAACTTAAATTTATACAATGTAATGTGTCAATTATATCTCAGTGGAAGAGGAAAAATGCTTAAATTAATAATAATAATAATAATAATAATAATAATAATAATAATGACAAAAAATAAAATGTCCCACAGACTCAGAAGGCAGTGACCAAGGAGAACCAATGGTAGCGAGTTTGGAATATACCATTTCTTTAAATACAAAACTATACTGGAGGTTTTGCCTAGTGCAATAAGGCAAGAAAAAGAAATAAAGTCAACCAAATTAGAAAGGAAGAAACAAAACATTTTATTTGTAAGCAACATAATGGTCTATGTAGAAAGTTCAATGAAATCTACAAAATAGCTACTGGAAGTAATAAGTGAATTTAACAAGGTGGCAAGATCAGTATAAAAATGTAATGATATTTCTGTACATGAGCAAGGAACAATTGGAAATGGAAATTTAAAAATCAATAGCATTACAATGGCATTAAACATAATAGAATACTTAGGGGTAAATCTGACAAGATTTGAAAAGTCTGTACACTCAAAGCACAAAACATTGATGGAAGAAATTATACAAGACCTAAATAAAAGGTGATAGATATATCAATCTTATGGGTCAGAAGGATCAATATTGACAATATGTCAATGCCCCCCAAATTGATCAATAAGGTTAAATGCAATCCCAATCAAAATTACAAGACATTTTTATAGAAATTGGATTTTAAAATCATATGGAAATTCAGAGAACCTAAAATAATTAAAATGAGTATGAAAATGGATGAAGCTGAAGGACTAGTACTATGTGATTCCTAGACTTAATAATATTCAACACAGTGTAGTGGTGGTGTAAAAATAGGCAAATAGATCACAGGAACAGACTAGAGCCCAGAAATGGGCCTATACATACATAGAAAATTGATTTCAACAAAGGTGCAAAGGGAACTCCATGGAGAAAAGATAGTCTTTCCAACACATGGTGCTGGAACAATTGGATATCCATATACAAAATATTTGCTTTGATCCATATTTTTTCCATGTACAAAACAACTCAAATGGATCCTAGACATAAATGTAAAACCTGAAACTATAAACTTCTAGAGGACAAAGGAGAAAATCTTTGCAACCACGGGGATAAGCAAATATTTCTTAAATATAATTAAAAAAGCACAATCCATGAATGGCAAAATTGATAAATGGGACTTCATAAAAATTAAAAGAGTTTAGTCTTTGAAGGACACTGTTAAGAGTAACAAAAGATAATGCAGAAACTAGGAAAAAATATTTGCCGATCACATATCTCATCAAGGACTTGTATCCAGAAATATATAGAGCTCTCAAATAACAATCATGAGAAAACTGAAAGGCCACTTCAAAATGGGCAGAATATTTGAACAAATACTTCACCAAAGAAGATATACCAATGGCAACTGAACACACTAAAAGACTAAACACCAACAACATTCCTCACCAGAGAAATGCAAACTAAAACCCCATTGAAGCACCACTACATACCTAGTGGAATGCTAGCATCACAAAGGGTGGTCATGCCAAGCGTTGGTGAGGATGCAGAGGGTCCGGGACTCTCATGCACTGTGATGGAAATGTTAAGTGACACAACCCTTTGGAAAACAGTTTGGTAGTTTCTTAAAAAGTTAATCATATATATTTACCTACTATATGATCCAACTATTCTACTCCCTAGATAGTTTCCTAAGAGAAATAAAGTGTAAATCCATACAAAGACTTTTCACAAATGTTTATAGCAACCTTATTTAAAATAGCCGAAAACTAGAAATAACCAAAATACATATCACTGGGTGAATGAATACACAAACGATGGTAGAGAAGAGTACACAGCAATAGTAAGGAAAGAACTGGTGATACCCACAACAATATTAATGACTCTCAAAATAATTATGTCAAGTGAAAAAAGTCAGATATGAGTCCATTTATAGAAGCTGTATATGAAATTCTAAGAAATTCTAATTAATGTGCAGAGAAAAAAACAGATCAGTGGTTGTCTGGGGGCATAAGAGGGTGGGTGGTGGGAAAGGGCACATGAAAGAAAATACAATGGGGTGAAAGGAAACTTTGGGGAGTGATGTGTATGTTCATTATCTTGATTGAGGGGATGGCTTCATGGGCATTTTCACATGTTAAAATTTAATAAGTTGTATGCTTTAAGTATGTGCAGTTTTATTGCCTGTCAATTATACTTCAATGAAGCTGTTTTTTCAGTCTTAGAAAATCAGAACACACATCTTATGAGACCATAGATGACAGATAAATCCATGATAGAGAAGCGTAGAACAAAATAATGAAATACATATTTTTAATGCAGTTAAATGGTAAGAAATGACAATCATCAGTGTTTGGAAAGGAATCTTTAATTCTTAGGTGATTGCTGAAGATTAAAGAAGACAGGAATGTAAAGTAGGTGACTGCTCGGAGGCACTGCACTGATGAACTACTTATTGACGGAAGCGTTGACTCAGAGCGGCTCTGGCCGGGCTCCAGAAGGCAACAGCTCATCTGAGCCATGCAGCTCTTTCTGAGGGAGCCACAGATTCCCCCAGACCCTCTTTGTTGACCTATAATAAACTTCACATTTATGTCAGGCCACAGGGTGCACTCACCCTAGCCCACACCTACCAAACACTGAAACTAAGAATGGAGCAGAAATCCAGGCACTTATGAAGCGAACTGCAACTGAGAATCGTGGTCTGGGAGAAAGCCAGAGGGAAACGCGTCTGCCTTTCTGGATACCATTGAAGGGCACACATTTTGGAGACAGAATTGAGATCAGATCTTCCCTGGTCTCCCACTTTCTTGCTGCATAATTTGGGCAAGTTACATA